TGGAGAAACACCTAAAACGGTCCATCCGGCCCCCTGGACAACATGGAGCCAAGCTATGCAAGGGAGTCAAGTATCAGCCCCAGGACTAAGGAAAGGTGCACAGCTGGCAGGGGCACAGTGCCTGCATGGGCGACTGACAGTTTATCCAGTCAGTCTAGACTCTCAATAAATCACAGCATCGTCAGTAAGATCTTACATTGCATTTTTTTTCTTCCAGTTGTCTTGTTCTCCAAGACAAACGCCACTGTCTCTTGACTATTGAAAGTAATGTCTTCCAGGGTACCTGGGTGGCTCAGAAAGTGTTTGACTCTTGCTTTCAGCTCAGGTCTTGATCTCATGGGTTGTGAGATAGAGGGCTGCCTCGGGCTCCTCCCTCATTGGGGGCGGGGTGGTCTGCTTGAAGGATTCTCTCCCTCTACCCCTTCCCCTTCTCTCTGCCCCTCCCCACAGAAAAACAAATAAATAAATAAATAAATAAATAAATAAATAAATCTTTTAAAGAAAGAAATTGATGTCTTCCTCTTTGGAACTGCCATAGCATTTTATGTCATTTTTGAGGTACTTAAATGCTTTCATTGTATCTTGTCCATTTCTTAATTCTCTTACAAGACTGTAAGGTATTTTCCAGAGTTTCAGCATGATGATTATACACAAATAAATATGGAATGTGACAAGGGATAGATGAATAAGTGAACTGATTTCTGAATGAATGAAAACCCATAGCGAACCATATTGGTATCGCCCAAAAATACACTGTCCTACCTTAACCCAGTCTTTCATCAATGACTTAATTAAATTTATTTATGTTTAACGATTTTATTTACTTGTCAGAGAGAGAGCACATAAGCAGGGGGAGCAGCAGGCAGAAGGAGAAGCAGGCTCTCTGCTGAGCAAGGAGCCGGATGTGGGACTCAATCTCTGGACCCTGGGATCATGACCTGAGCTAAAGGCAGCTGCTTAACTGACTGAGCCGCCCAGGAGTCTCCACCAATGACTTTCTTAAATTCCCTCTTCTTAAAGGTCATGCCTAACAAGAAATGCCCAACAAAATGTTAACTACAACGTTGTGTTGTTCATGTACAGAGCAGGTTGAGAAGTACTTACGAAAATGTTCTTTGGCCACATTCCCTGAATTTTACCTTCTTTTCTCCTTCCTATTTCTTCATATAAAATAAATGTTAGAATTCTTCATTTCAGGGGCACCTAGGTGGCTCAGTCAGTTAAGCGTCTGCCTTGGGCTCCAGTCACAATCCCAGAGTTCTGGCATCAATTCCCACATCAGGCTCCTTGCTCAGCAGGGAGTCTGCTTCTCCCTCTGCCCTTCACCCAATCTCTGCACTCTCTTACCCTCTCTCTCTCAAATAAATAACTTAAAAAAAAAGAATTCTTTATTTCCTTTTTTTTATTTTTTTTAAGATTTTATTTATTTATTTGACAGATAGAGATAGGCTGAGAGGCAGTCAGAGAGAGAGAGAGGAGGATGCAGGCTCCCTGCTGAGCAGAGAGCCCAATGCGGGGCTCGATCCCAGGACCCTGGGATCATGACCTGAGCCAAAGGCAGAGGCTTTAACCCACTGAGCCACCCAGGCGCCCCAAGAATTCTTCATTTCATACTTAATTGGATATCAAATAGAATTACCTGGATATAGTACATTCTTGAAATGGTACATGACAATATCAATCATTATTAGCACTAACTTGTTTTCTCACAAAATTTCTAACTCAGTGACAGAAGAGTTTTTCCCCACCATTCCCAAAGCTAATAGTATCTAAAAATCATACATAAATGAAAGTATTTTTTACAACCAAACATTTCATTCATGCACTTATGGGTTCACACTTCTTATGTATATCATTTTCTATAATCTTAAGTAGGCTACATAGACTTTTCTAAATTAAATTTGTTGTATGGCCCTGATACTGCCTAAAAGACAATGATAATCTCCAATCCATGAAAGTTTCTTCTTTTTTGAATTTCCCTTAATTCTTTAATTATTGCTATAGCTCTAGAATCCATATCCTTCATATGTCTATATTATAATTTCAAATGTAAAGACAAAATAACTTATATTCTACAACCAGGAAAAAAATGACTTAGGCATAGAGGTGATTTGAAAAATGAAAATAGTAATTGTATAATATGATAATTTTTTATTACTTTGATTTCATTAAAATTTTCATCTTTAAAATCTGACTTCTATGGATTAAGTCTACATAGGTACTTGCACATATATTAGATAATACATGTATAAAGTTATTCATTACCACACTGTCTATAAAAAATAAAAGACTGGAATCTCAATGCCTACCAATAGGGGGCTAGATAAATAAGTTATGATATATCCATTCAATGGAAAATAATCAAATGTTAAAAAAGAATAAGAATGTTTTCAATGTAATACATTCCAAAACAACTTATTCCATTGATGTCTGTAACAGAAAATATGAGAAACTACATCAAAATCCATCAATAGGTAACTAGATAAATAAGTTATAGTACATCCATTCAGCAGAATAGTATACAACTATGTAAAATGAGGCTTTTCTTCCTACACAGAATGGTCTCTAAGATACATTAAGTGAAAAAAAGCAAGATTAAGAACAATGCTGATGTGTGTTAACCTTTGCATCAAAAGAGGGGAGGGTTTAAGATACAGTTGCATAAAATAACTCCAGAAGAGTACACTCAAAACTAGTAAAAATGGCTGTGGGCACCTGGGTGGCTCAGTGGGTTAAAGCCCCTGCCTTCGGTTCAGGTCATGATCTCAGGGTCCTGAGATTAAGCCCCACATCAGGCTCTCTGTTCAGCAGGGAGCCTGCTTCCTCCTCTCTCTCTGCCGGCCTCTCTGCCTGCTTGTGATCTCTGTCTGTTAAATAAATAAATAAAATATTAAAAAAAAAAAAACCTAGTAAAAATTGCTGTACAAGGGAGATAGAATTGGGTACATGAGGGACAGAGGAAGGAGCAAAACTTCTCACAACATACCATTTTATATTTTTTTATTTTTAACCTTGTGAATTACATTACCTATTCAAAAAATTGTAAATGTACATTTCCATTATCATTCTTTGAGTGTTTGTCTAATAATGAACGGATGAATTTTCAGAGAATCTTCAATATATTATTCTCCGTCCTTCTCTCACCAAATTTCCTTCTGTACTCTGCCCTCTCCTCTTCTATATCAAATGGCTTTTCAGTGCTCATAAAGACCTGGCTGGGGGAAAGAACTGGCGGGGGGAAACACCTGAGGCAGAGCACTTTGGAATGGAGTAGATTTTGATCCAAGACATGATGCTTAATAATGAAATAATTTGGGGAACACATTTGCCTAGAAATAAAAGAAGAGATGTGTGGTCTGGGTAATGGCCAACATGTTGAATAATACAAAATTGTAGTGGCATCTTGCTAACATTTTAATGGTCTAATTATCAGAAACTTGAATATAAATGTTTTCATTCTTAAACAAAGATAATGATTATCAAACACTTGCTGAAAAACTACTTATTTATGTCACTAGCTTAAAAAGGTTTTAAGAAAAAATGATGGTAACTGAATAACCATACTGAATTTTGTTAATACCCAACTATTTAGATATTTGGAAATCGTCTGAGGTCCTGTACAGCCTTCCATTTATTAAAAATGAATTCACACCAAAAAAGCAACAATGTTTAAATTTGGCATTCAAAAGGCCCTCCCGGCTAGAGATATTAAAATGTCAACCTTATTTAAATGAGACATTATTGACCCCCATTAGTAGGACATGTGCTTGGTTTGGCTTTCTCTAATGGTGGTGATGGATTTGCTCTTGTCCATCCACACACTCCTGCCATGTCCTCTTATGACCTGGGGCAGACATATGCTAGACAGCTGGCTGGACCAGGTCTGTGGTCATTGCACAAAGCAAAGCTTGCTGGCCCACACAAAGATTGAACCTGTGACCTTGTTCTCATTAGCTCAATGCCCTAGTCACCTGAGCTAAACAGCCACAAAAAAAAAAAAAAAAAAAAAAAAGAAGAAGAAGAAGAAAGTGAAGCTTGAACACTGTGTAGATAAATGTCTGTGTGGGGATGTCAAAGTCAGGTATAAAATGACATACAGCAATGGGCATAAACCTGGTGCTTAGGTATTAAAGGGGGGTATTACATCCTCTGATAAGTTATATATCTTGGAATACATGCCCCAGTGGCAACTTCCAAGCTGAGAACCAAAATATAATCACCTTAATAGGAATTTTATCTCAGTTCTGTGCCACAAGTCAATATGGTACAAACCCTGAAATAAAGAAATTGGCCATTGAAATAGTAGTTACCCGGAATGTGCTAGAAGATCCCAGAAAACAAGAGGTTTCTCAACTCATCTGATTTGTGTTCCACTGAGCCCTGGGCCAAAAGGGGAAGTAAATAATAAGAATAGTTGGTAGAGATAGAAGTGAGAATATGAGCCAATAATCTGTGATTAGAAGACACAGAAGCTGTGTATTCAGGCAAATCTTCATGAAGAAAACATCTGTACTCAGCCAATCTACAACTTGTGATTGAGTGTCCATGTGTTCTGTGTGTCACAGGGCCTCTGGTTACAGAAATCTACTAACGGTGGGGGGACTTCCACTCATAGGACCTACAATCATGGAGAAAGTCACTAAGTCTAGATTATCCAGTTTCTCCTTAACCTTGAATAGACTGTTATACTGGTACCAAGTCCTAAGGGTCGCCATGACTGTAAACCCAATGCAATCCTCACTGAGTATGAAAAATCCCAGATTTATGAGAAATTTAACCACAGGTAAAACAGGAACAATTTCATTACCAAGGTTTTATGTTAAGGGATGAAATAAAGTTCCACTCAGGAGTTCTTCCCCCTCATTCATTTGAATGGACTCTTCCATCAGGAACCTGGTCAACAAGACCATAGGCACAGCATGAACCCCCAACCACTAAGAGACAACAATTAAAGTCATATCTTGGGTCACAAGAAATATATGCCAAAAATGCCATTGTAGGGGCGCCTGGGTGGCTCAGTGGGTTAAAGCCTCTGTCTGCCTTCGGCTCAGGTCATGATCCCAGGGTCCTAGGATCGAGCCCTGCATCGGACTCTCTGCTCAGCAGGGAACCTGCTTCCCTTCCTCTCTTTCTCTGCCTGCCTCTCTGCCTACTTGTGAGCTCTGTCTGTCAAATAAATAAATAAAATCTTTAAAAAAAAAAAAGTTTAAAAAAATGCCATTGTAAAACTCCCCTTTTGAAAGATATAATTTCCCTCAGCATTAAGTTCCAATTCCTTATCCTGCCATCCAGCAGAAATTCAAGGCTAAGTCTTCTTCGTCTTTGCATCCCCATCACTAGCACAGGACTTCCCATATAAAATGAGGTCAATAAATTATTAAATGAAGAAACAATTGAATGACTAAATCTGATCCTGATTTATCTTTCCACATCATCTCACTCCACTTCTCTTACTTAATCATTCCCTCCAAGACTCATACTAGTCTTCCCATTGCTCCACAAACATAGCTGGCCCTCTCCTCCTTCTGTTCTTGTTGAGGATCTTTCTCTCTAACTAGGGCGTTAGCATTTATTCAGTGCTTATTATGCATCATTTTATATATCTTATCTCACTTAATCCTAAAAGAAATCCGTTTCTTACAAGATGCTTAGAAAAACTGAGTAGCTTCCCAAGATTACACATCTACAAAACAATGGAACTAAGATTTGAACCCAAATTTAAACCCTGTCTGGCTCCAAAAAGAAACTCCTCTTCCGTCTAGGATATTTGTCTGCCTTCAGGTACCCAAATTCTGCCTTTCCAAAACTGGTGTCTCTCTCAAGTTCTAGTGAAAGCTGCAAGGAGAGGAATTCATACCTGTCCACTCCATCCCATAATGACCTTTCATCGGTTTAACATCATGTCATTAACAAAGGGTCTCCAATAACAATCGCAGACCACTTCAACACCCTCATTTACTATTCCTTCTATTTAGCATTTTCACTTTCCAGGAATCCAGGACTTTCAGCCTAATGAAACCATAAGCTCAAAGGGCCGATTCTACATGTTACAATTTGCTGTACCCCTCCACAAGCATGGAGAAGACCTCTGTGTGTGATAAGCACCCAACAAATAGGACTGACTAAAAGTGACTAATGGCAAAATCTCCATCCTCCCACCAAGAATTTCTGTGCCAATGCCTATAGTTATGATGAAATACTCTTTGAAGTATTTATTTCTTAAGGCTATTGTAATAAAGAGAAACAATATTTAAATAGCTATGTCTGCAAAACATTTTAAGGTCTTTCATAATTAACCTTCTGGAGCATCTCTGCTTCTGAGATGTCTACCAAGTCAGTGTTTGTGAGATCATCTTGTGAAGATTTCCCGTGTTTTTCCCAAATACTCTCGTTTCCAAAGGTTAATGACTTGGTTGTAAAAGTGCACTCCAGAATGAAATTTAATCTACAAGTTCTCCATCTTAAGGTGAATATTCTTAGCAGGTTTTTTTTTTTTCCAAAAATAGGAAGCCATCTGTTTAACCAATTTGAATACATATAAAAGAATAAAAAGTAGGAATACAGAGGTTCCTGGATTTTAAGCACTTTTGAGTATTTGTAAAATACATTATGACTTTGATGCTTGAAAAAATATGAAGTGGTGCCCTTAGCTATAAATCAGCCTCAAAAAATAAAGCTGAGCTAGAAGTGGGGATATCTTTAGGACAAAAATTTTTTGATCATCCAAAACGTTGATCATTTGTGGGCCGTAGAAAAAGAAGATTTATTATTTTTGAATGGTTCGATTTTTAGTAAGATAAAGACATACAATTTGAGAGAACATCAAACAGAATGTGGTTCTTATTAATATCACGTAACCTTTCCTATAAAACTTTTCCTTTCTCCAGCCCAGCTCCCATTAGAACCAAACTAAACATGTTGACAGCTACAATTTAGGAAGGTGTTAGGCCAATAGTCTCCCCTTTTGAGAAACTGGATCATTAATTCAATATCATGTTACCAGTTTTCTTCATAAACCAAATACATGGGGATAGATCCTATTCTATAGGGTTTAAACACACACAAGTGACAGAAACCACAGAACACAGATCCTAATCAGCTGGGCCTTCAACCATGAACTCACTGTATGCACATATGTAACTCCCATTATCATTAGTATGAATAAAGCTCTAACTTATTTTATACATTTGGAAGAGGGTGGATCTCAGTGTTCATGATTAGATATGTTCCTGTAAAAATTGCATTGTTTTATTACCAAATGTGTTTATATATATATATATCAGTATGTTTTAGAATTGAATATTCTCCTCCTGAGCAAAATAAGTCATTATTTCCTGAACACTCTGTGACTTACTTATTTCCTTTTAATCCTAAATCCTCATATAAATGTAAAGTTAGCATTTTTTACTTTAGAATTTTTAAGGAAATCAATGAACTCTAGGATCTCAAGCTTGATTTATTTTAGGTCTTGCATACAGTAGGCATTCAATTAACACTTATGGAAGAATGAATGAATTAATTAATTAATCCCATTAATGAATTAATGAACTTGGGAACCCAAACCAGAGTCACAGAACGGTGCACCCTAGAAGAGATCCCAGAAGGAATTCAAAATAAAAGTCTCAAAAACAAGGCTCAGATCCACTTCATGTAATTCATTCCATGTAATTCCGAGTTTGAATCTCAGAAAGAAATAATTTTAAGGTTTCCAAAAGATCCAGCCAAAATTAGTCAGTCAGAACTCAAAGATAATAGATGTGACTGTATCTTTAGAAGAGGTTGCTTGGACCTTCCTTTGTATGAAAGAAGAGAACCTCAGAGTTTTCTCCTGAATCCCCTCTGGAGGCCATCCTGAAATTGGTGAACCCAGAGTCATATTCCAGAGTCATATGGCTATCCACCAAAACAAATAAAAAATGGGTTAACACCAATGTATTGGGGGTGCCTGGGTGGTTCAGTCAGTTAAGTGTCTGACTCTTGATCTCAGCTCAGTTCTTGATCTCAGGGTCATGAGTTCAAGCCCCACATTGGGCTCCATGCTGGGCGTGGAGCCTACTTAACAGAAATGCATTCCAAGATCACCCCGTCCCCAAGTCCCCCTCTACTGTCACTATTACTGGCACAGCTATATCCCAGTGGGGAACCCTCCCACCTAGCCTGTGACCTGAGAGACACACCAGGATATAGTGAAGGTGCCTGACTCTGAGGGTTCACATTTAAGTGAGCTGACCTTCCTATCCACTCAGATGGAGAGCAGAAGGAAGAAGACAACCAAGGTTAAATGCCAGATGCTATATTGGATTTCATCATTTTCATTTACACGGCTCCTGCAGTAATTCTCTGAGGGGTATACAGTTATCTAGAATGCCCCAAGTACCTAGGTTTGTGCACTCAGGTCACTGTGGAAGGCTGTGTTAGTGGAACAGGACTGGGAACATCTTAAAACAGCTAAAACAGCTGCATCAGAAATGGCCAAGGCTTGTGAGCAATATGATAGCTGCTATTAAACCCCACTTCGAGCTTCCCCCAGCTTTGATGGTTTCTTTCTTCCTCTCAAAAGTTTACCGTTCTTTTCCTGACCTCAAGTCAACCTCATAAAAGCCCAATTTTTGTTTAATTAAAAAATTAAAGTTTTTGTTGTGTTATTGTCGGTTTTGGGACTTTCATTGTTTCTGTTGTATTTTCTTTGTCTATTTGGTCTGACAAAACAAACCGAAGTGGGCCACGCATGCTAAATTCTCTCATACAGACATGCAGTGAGGCCTCCGTGTTGCCTGGCATTCACATGTTTCATAGCCCCTGTCCCCCATGGCACTTCCTCCCAGCAAGCAGCTGGAAATGCCCATGTGTGCCAGGATTTTTTTTTCAGGCTATGTGTAGCAATCACTTTTCGACATCTCTCATTCCACTGAGAGCTAGTTGAATTGAAAGACTTCATTTTAGCATCCAACTTGGCATCCTCGAATAGAATTTATCATTCACTATTATGAGTAAGAGCTTACATGCATTCTTCTTCAGTCTGACCGTTAAGAAAGCATTTAATGCACTTTAAATTCCTTGAAAAAGTTATGTTGTAGTAACACGGTGATAGAATTGAAAATACCATAAAAGAAGCAGTTCGAGGGCCTTCTAACCCTGCAATGAAGGAAATAATTTCAATGAACTATAAATAATGTTCACTGGATTAATTCCACCACTGTATTTAGCATAATGTTTTCTTAAGGTGATAATTGATAAGCCATCACTTAGAGACTGTTTAATGATGCTGAAAGGAAGTGTAGGCGGAAGTCGGCCAACTCATTGGGACTTTTTCAAGCTCCCAAAGACCACCTGGGATTCATCTCAATTCTCTGATGCTGTGTTTCAAATCAGCCACTCAAAGATACAATTTGCTGTCAGCAAGTCCCCTGATTTATTTAATCCTTCCCCAAAATATGTCCTGAAATTCTCACAATTTAACCCCTATTTGTCATGACGGCAGCTCCTCGACAATGACTAAATCACTCTCTTTTTGTCAGGTGCTTGGCGTGGGGGGGGATGACCATGCCGGTGGCTGGGAAGAGCGAGACCAACCCTCGGGAATCCTGCTGCCACTTTATTTTCTCAACAAACCATCACTAGATTTTTTTAATTACACTTATAATCTCCACTAGACCTCTCCAAAAATAAGAATATCTAAGCATACTGCATGCATTTCAATATATCTTTATATTTTGCATTTTTAAGAACGACATTCCTAATTTCATCTACAATAAGGACACTTATTGGTTTTTAGATTAAATAGTACAGTATGGGAAAATATGAGTTCAAATAGGATAATGGAGAAAAGAAGAAAAATAGGGGTGTCTGGTGGCTCAGTCGTTAAGTGTTCAGCGTCTGCCTTTGGCTTGGGTCATGATCCCGGGGTGGTGGGATTAAGCCCAGAATCAGGCTCCCTGCTCAGTGGGGAGCCTACTTCTCCCTCTCCCTCTGACTACTCCTTCCCCTGCTGTTCCCTCTCCCACTCCCCTTGTTTGTGGTCGCTCTC